GTCCACGGTGAAAGTTGATGTATTCCCTCAGTGACCAGCACAGATCAGCTCTAGGCATGACGAAGCGGATATCGTCCTCTTTTGGAAGACCAAACAAAGTAGTTTCGCTTTCACAACGAATCACACAGCGTCTTCACAACATGGCGGCAGCAACAATACTACAGCGAGAATAAAAGTTACGCCTTCTTTCTTTGCGTGAACATTTGGGCGGCGTTATGCAAATCTTCCCACATAGTGATGTAGACATGTGGAGGCGTGTTAGAACGAGCCGTTTTAGGGGGGCGTGGCTGACTCTTAACTTTTATAAAGAATATCTCTTTGGCTTTGAGACTTTAGTCTTTGCAACTTTACAGATCTTCTTTATGCACCAAGAGCTTGTAACACTCCAAAGAGAAAGGAAACACTGAAATCGCATCATATGACCCCTTTAACATAAGAGTCAGGACAGGAGTATTTTAATGAATGTCAAGTTGGGGCAAGTTAAAGTGTAAGAAAGTTGCGCACATCCCACAAACCCACACAGGGCTCAGGTGCAGGACAAAAAAAAGTCAAACTATAGCAAAAATACAAATGTAAGTAATAAATTATCCAGTGTGCGGACAATACGTTTGTATTTTTGCTATAAGTTGGGGCAAGTTGTCACATTCTGTGGACTCTTTACTCTTTATTTTATTTATTTATTAATTTATTTATTTATTTTGCTTTTGAACACAAAAATGATCTTTGCTATGATCTCCCATTCATCATCATAGACGTTTACCCATCTGTGACGACTTTTGCTTCTCAGAACCCCAGGAAAATTAAAAGGGTCAATAAGCGGAAGTTGTCACATTTTATATCTTGACAACTTTTCTGTTTAAAATCCTTTAAATGGAATATAATACACTATAATACAGACATTGTTGTGACAGAAATTACTTTTGAAAACAAATCCATAGTGTGTGATAATGTGCTCAGGAATGTCTCTCTTCTTTCTACTGCCGATGCTTTACAAATCATACTTATAGATGTTTTATTATTTATAATAATGAGTCTGTTCTCCAGCAGGGAGTCTGAGGACCGAAACTGTGATGTAATTTGTATTATTATTATTATTAATGTGGTGACATTACACAATATGTATAGGCCTCTTCACCTTCTGACTTCTCTCCCCACTCTGTTTTATGAAAAATAATGTTGACAGTGTTCTGACAGACTGAGGAAAGGCTGGTTTTCTATTCATAAGTTAGTGACTTTGCTCTGAAAAGCGCTAGCTGTGACTGTACTGTGTTCTCAGATGTTTTACTGCAGTATGTGTACTTCCATTGTAATAGCTGTGCAGTACTGTAGCTCACTGCTGATCTGAAGGAGTTTTATTCATGATTGTTAGG